AAAAATAATGTAAAATCACCGACAGTTCCCTAACTCTTAAAGTAAAAATATATCCTTAATTGAAAAGGGATAACTGGTCATATAAATTTCTACTACAGCAAACGGACAAAGCCTCATTTTATCTTATTGTTCTTAGAATTGACGAGCTATTACGTAAGGTAGGGCTGCATTCAGAGGAAAAATTTAAAAGTGAAATTTACACTGTGATCAAAACATTACTCTGAAAACTTACATCGTTTATCGAGGCTCGGGATTGTGTTTCAATCTGAGCTATTTCACGCTGATTTTTAGTGAAGCCCTCAGGCAATTCGGTAGGTGAGGAGCAGGGTGAAGAATTGTTCTGGCCATACTGCCAAACAGTGCCACCTGGAGAAGAAGCGATGGATGCCAAATTGTCGCAAGGCCTCTCGTCTAAACAAGCATGAGTGGCTGGTGAAGCCTGAGCCGGTCGGTAAATCACAGATGGGAGATTAGGCTCCTTATCTAGTGTCATCTGGGCTTGGTTATATGACATAATGGCAAAAACATTAGGATCCATCGTCTTGGAAAAAGAAAATCCAGAAGCACTTCGGCTGCAGATCTTCTCTCCTACTATCACATCAGGCTCCGTCCGTTGGCATATGGTCGATTTCTCTTGAGTCGAAGAGTTACAGAGTGATTGACTCTGAAATAAATGTGAAAATTTATGAGTATGATGGAATGTCACTGACGGTTAGCAAGTGCATTAAAATAAACATATAAACTCAGAATAAGTATGAAACGAGGAAGATATAAAGCAGAAAGCGAATAAGCTCAGACTAGTCAGGTACGGGCGTCGACAGCTTAGTGTACAAGCATCAATACACTTTCTGATCTATCGACTGACGTAAAGTCAACAGCAGAGAGAGCGAAGGTAGTAGACGTACGAGTTCAAGACCAAATAAGGGAAATTGTAAGCCAAATCTAGTTTCATAAAACATCAAACCAAATTGGCTGATTCGGTTTAGGAATCATAAGCTTTTGTAATGCCAACCATAGCATTATGGATTAAGAAACCGATAAACAGTATAGATTCCTCAGAGAGATACTCATACCAAAGAAATGAGAGAACTAGGAAAGCGAGGGCATATCTGTCATCACTAAACACATCATGTCTCATAACAAACCCAGATAGAAGACGATATTATAAATAGGGAATCGAAAGGACACCGAGGATGAGGCCTTGGACTTTTGTATGTTGAACTGGGATAAGAAAACCTCGGCTCACCGCCCTACGACACCAACGAATTATTGAGGAAATTGAGTGTCAAGACAATGTATAAAGAAACAAAAACGCTTTCCTCGATCATGCTTTATTTTAGATAATCTTCTGACGCCCTCTGTAGATCAGGTTGATATAAGGTTTTGTGCTCCGAAATCGTAAGTGGCTGAACATGTGGTCGCTACAGGACACCATCAAGAGTGGTCTAAAGCCCAACGTCTTGCCAGATATGGGGACTTCTTAGCTAAACTGAAGATCAGAGACAATTGAAATTAATAAAAGAAAGAACATTCTGAATAAGTGGGACAAAAGTAGGAAACTAAGTAGGAACTATCCCTGGCTTCTAAATGGAATGAGAGAAAGAAGGAATGGGAAGAGGACTAGACTAAGCTGGAGCCTGTTTTTGCACATAAAATTGCCAACCGACTAGGGGTTGTTGCATACACACTCATCCACGAAGCTGTAACAAGAGCAATGTTTACTAGATTGTATTCTAGTTTATTTACACTGACAAAAGTTGTTACTACATCCGCATCACATTGACCCAATTACATGCAGGTAGGACAAGCATGAGTCAGTCAATCAATTCGCGGAATGTATGAAGACCAAGATGGTGTGCCCTGTTGTGTGGTCGTAATCTCCTTTCGTTGTATAGAGGTTGATTGACCTTGATTTTGCAACTTGGTGATATTAGTAGGAAGACTTAGAGGAACGCACCTAGTCCGAAGTCCATTGCATGCATGATGATTACCAAAGTCTGACCGTGGACGAGGTACATTCTCAGAGATTTCATAGACATCATAGTCGGTATCGTCAGTGAGTCTATCCATTCGTAACACCATATTACAACTCGTCAAAAGAGACAAGTGAAGCCTATCCTTTGACAAACGTGTACTTACCAGTTGTGGTATCTCTCCTTCTGTTCTGGTCTATTCACATTTCCTATAGCCTCCTATCACGCCTTCACTCTTCGCTCTTGTGCTGTAAATTTTGATCAGAGTCTGTCATATTGTTACGCAGTCCTCCTTCCCTAGGTCTTAGCAGAGTCTCCCTCTTGCCCCGTAAGATCCCTTTGCTAACTCCCTGGTTCACGTATTTCACTCGACCCCTGCCACCCCATCTGTGCCACTCGAGGCGCTATTACCACTCCCCTGAGTCTGGGTGACTAATTCGAGGCTAAGGCCTCCGAGTAAGTCTCATGGTCACGCCTTTGCTACATGGACTACGTCTCCTGTAAAACCTACTGTCAGCCAACTAGCTCCAGTCTCCTCCGCGTCTATCCTGTTATCACCTTGATATTCCATTGCCTTAGTAATTGTCGTAATTGATGGCTTAGTTCTGATGAGAGCAGGAAAATCCAGTTCTGGCCGTCCTGATTCCTGATCTGATTTTTATAAAATCCGAGTTCAAATATGCCAGTTATAACCTCTACATTTTGTTTAAGGTACCCGTTACTGAGGGAAATCCGTGTCAGTTTGTCCAACTGCGCGTGCCAGAACTCAGTGTCCGTTAGACGCAGGGGAGGGCGAATAACGCTTCGAGTTGCACAGATGGGGTGGCAGGGGTCGAGTGAAATACTCGAACCAGTGAGAGAGCAGACGGATCTTACGGGGCAAGAGAGAGACTGTGATAAGACCTAGGGAAGGAAAACTGCGTAACAATATGGCAGACTCTGAGTCACATTCCCAGCACAAGAGTGAAGGGAGTGAGAACGACAGCGTGGAGTGTAAAGGGTTTTCATGAATGCCCGTCAAAGGAGAAGAGCACACTACATCGAATAATGGTTTCTGGCTCCGACAATGTACATCACGTGATGGACAGAGTCATCGGGATCGTAGGACGGGGAGCTAAGCTTTTCTTCGCAAAGGTCAACAGACAAAAGTTCAGGTCAACCCTCCTGGGATATCCGGTAAGGCCAATATACGAATCCCTTCGACCTGCCTTTTCAAACGAAATGAAAGGTACGCCAGTATCAATCTATTAAGGGATTCTTCGAAATCCAGCTTCTTTTCATACTTGTAAGCCTAATTTGCGGTTTTTGAAAGTTACAAGATGGTGGGGAATATTATTTGTGAAACAATTGAAGGAAGATAAATCCAATAATATATTAGCAAAATAATGTTTTTATATATACTTCAGCAAAATGATTCCCTATGCTATTGCATACGAAAATAAAGTGTCCAAGAACAAACTGAGGTTCTAAATGGATTATTTGAAAGAGAAGAGGAGCCAAAACTTGTTCAACATACTGATTAAGACTGGGGATTGCTGTAGCAACATTATGGCATTTAGCTCGAGTTGCCCAGAGTCGTAATTCTCCTTATGAAGGAACGTAAGTTAGTATCTAATCTACTAACAGGTGAAATGGCTAATTTTGTGAGAAATTAAATAGAAGATGCAGAAGATCCTACAATTTCTTGAGGCAATATATAAAAACGCCAACAAATAAAGCCGATCTACTGCTACCAAATGTAGATAAATCATTGTGGATAAGAAGGCCAATTCATTAAAAATGAAATTTAAAATAAGTCTTCATGATACAAATAAGAAATTAACGACTACGTACTAGTAGGCGGGAATGTAAAAAAATTCTATCCCAACATCTTCGGTCAAAGAGGATTTGCCT